ATATATATATATATATATATGCATCACACTCTGCTTCATAAATATGTAGTTATTTGCTGATGAAAATTAAAAATGTAGCTAAAAAATAACGCAATATAAGAAGATAAACGTCGGCAGAGGGAAAAAAATGTGTGTCTCTTTTGCACCTTGAACCCCCCAGAAGGGAAGGTCACCTAATATGTAAAAATCACATCTACTCTGCTGTCCCTTGTATTTATTAGGAAGTGATTTTTGATGCAGTGTATGCCATTAAAGCTCATTTTCTTTTTTTCCTAAAGGAAGGGAAATAAGCTGAGAAAAGAATCACGAGGAGTGATGACGGGGTTCGAGGGAATGTGACCAGGATCTTGACTGTCAGGAACGCTCAGTGTCTTTCGTGACTGATGCTGTAACCGACTGTCTCTCCCCCACGCAGGGAGGCTCACGTTCGTCCCTGGTTGCTCCTGCCAGCACAGACAGGCTTACATTGCGCTATTGCAATACAGGAAATCAGGGCCACTCTCTCTTCACACCCCCTTGCTGGCTTTGAGAGGTGAGCAAAGTTTTGCCACTTAAAGGACCAGTCCTCTAAGAAATATCTGTATTTAATATGTAGCCTGATCCATGCTTTGAGGCAACAAACCATTGTTTGACGTCTTATTTCTTTAGCTATCCTGTCCCTTTGTGCTCGTATTAGATTTCTCCTGATTTAAAACAAATGCACAGAGACCAGCCAGTCAGTGCAGAGTAATTGCAGGCTCCCAGAGTTCGGCATGCACAGCAATCACTAAAACAACCCTGAGTTATTAAGAAACAAAACAAAACAAAACAAAACAAAAAACTCTACATCTTCACAGATTGACTTTCACAGAGCCACAGGATCAATCGGAGCTGGCTGGTGTGCTGCTCTGCAGAGAATGTTGTCAGGATGGCCTTGCTGCAGACACTAGATTTTTGTTTGAAATGCTATTTCTTGTCCTCTCTCCCTCTCTCTCTTAGACACACAGCATAATTACAGGCTGCAGAGTGAAAAGCAATAGAACTGTTTACAAAACAGCTCACAAAGTTTAAAATAATAGGGGTATGTGTGTGTTTGTGTAAAACAAAGTATTGTGTATGGCAGGGTGAACGGTCTACAGTCTTTCTTCTTTCTTCTTTCTCTGCCCCATGTCGCCCTCCAGAATTCAGGGCACGGAGATGAGTGATGGTGCCCCTTCCCTCCTGCAATGCAGAGCTTACTCTTAATTAGTTATGCTTATTTATCTGACGCCAGTTTATTGTTGTAGATCAAAATATAGATCCTCAGGTGTGCGGAGACAGAGAGGCTGAGGCGTCAGGCTGCTATCTAATTAATTTTAGGGCAGCCTAAATTCCCATGCAGAGGTTCCCTCATGGCATCCAAGAGAAAGATTTCTTTGTTATCTTTCAAAAGTCCAAGAGAAGAGCTTTCAGCAGGTTAGTGTTCAGGAGTGAGAGGGGCATTTTTCCAGCCCTTTCAAAAGTCTCTTTCCGTGCAGCTTTGCAAAAATTTTGCAGCACTTCCTTCTGGGTTTTATTTATTTTCTAATGTGGAAGAGTTGCTGCTACCCTCCTGCCCGGAAGCCAATCAATCATTTTGCTGTGCAGGTTTAGATCTGCTGCGGCAAAGCAAGCCTCCCAGTGCTAGCTGCATCGCATCAGGTCTGGATGACAGGGAGGCTGGTGACTGATAGTCAAAGGGGACTCTGTCCACTTAGGTGTGGAGTGAGCCGAGGACATGGGCTGAACAGAGGGACCTTGCCCGGAAGAAGCACCTTCTCCCCTGGAGATTGATGGGGGACAATTAGACGTTTTTTCAGAGACTGAGAAAAGTTGTCCTCCTAGTCACTTGCTATGAAGTCTTTGTCAGCAGAAAGGATGCTCCCGTGTAGTGAATGACATCATGTAGATGCGAAATGGCAGCTCTGTGTTTTACTGTGTTGGATAAGGGCTCAGTGCGCACGCAGGTGAGCTGACATGCCCTCAACCTACACCATGCACCAAGCACTCCCCACGGGCACTCTTTTCAAATGCACAGTGACTCCCTTCCCAAACACTGCCAGATCTTTCTCATCGATCCTGAGTTTTGCTGGGGATGTTTAAAGTACTGTGAGGGTGTGGGTGGGAATGATACTCTTGTCGCCTGATTATGGAGCTGATTAAGAAAGGAGAGTGTAACCTGGAGTCATTTGTGGGCAGTTCTGAAGGTTGCTCCCTTCCATTGCACCCTTTTGGAGTACAAAAGAAAAATATATAAATGTATAATGTATACCCATATTGTATGTTATTCCAAGAGACTACTTCAGATCAGATCTCTTCAAAATCCTTGACTGATATTTCCTTTGTGTCTTTTTTCTCCTCCTTCTAGGAACCCATCTGCTGTTGTCCTGCATCCCTCCGAGTACAGAAATTGATCGTGCAACCAGGATACCTAATTCGAGGTATTAGCTCTTGTCAGAAAGCTTTCGTGTTGGAAATGATATTTTGGCAAGGAATCGAAGTAGGAAAAGTTGGAACGGGAATAAAGGACAAAAGCGAATTTGCAGAATAATCAAGTGCTAAAAAAGCTACCGGCTGCGTCTGAGGGCTTGCTGCTTCTGTTCTGCCGGTTTACGTGCCACTTCTGACTTACCTGTAGCCCGTTTTCTGCATCTGTGTTTGGGATTGGGCTTTCATTTTAATCTCTCCCTCTGCCCTGTTTTTCTGGCTGCCCAAACCTCCAGAAATCAGGAGACTGAGAGACGGTGTCGGATTGGCGACGCTGGACCCAATACAATGAAGTATTCTTGCTGTGCGCTGATTTTGGCTGTCCTGGGTGCAGAATTGCTGGGGAGTCTCTGTTCCACTGTCAGGTCCCCAAGGTTCAGAGGACGGATACAGCAGGAACGAAAAAACATCCGACCCAACATCATCCTTGTGCTCACCGATGATCAAGATGTGGAGCTGGGTGAGACACTGGATTCTACACTTGTTAGTCTCTTTTGTTTAAAGATCTACTGAGGCTTCCCAACACTCAGTGAGCGTTTGAGGGGTTTGCATTTACTGGCTCTGTTGAAAATGATGTTTTAGGTCATTGGAAAAGTCATGATATATTTTTGCGTAGAAAAACATGTCATGTTTTTCTGACGACCTGTTATTTATAGGACCTTAATCGACAGCTCGATTTATACCATGAACTTGGATTGATCATAAAGCTCATGGTTTGCTTCAACATCATTTTTCTGGTGGTAAGCTTTTGGAATAGTCTTGGGGAGAGACCTAAGAAAGGCAGGTGTTGGGGCCAGCAGGTGGTATAATAGTTTAAGCCCTGGACACCCACATGGCTGATTCCGATTTGAGTCCCAGACTTGGCAGCTTGCTTTCTCCCTTCCCCACTCTCTCTTTCTCTCTCTGTATCTGGTGAGTATGCATAACCTATAGCAAATTTAAAAAACAATAAGTAAAATTAAATAAATAATTCTTTTTTTTTTAAAGGTAAAGAAAAAAAAATAAAAGGCAGAGGCTAGAAAAGAGAGGGAGCATGAAAAACTACAGAAATCAAGGATTTGGTCAGGCAGGTCAGAAACTCTCAGTCAAGACATGAAACATTTGGGCAAAGTTGTGTTTAGAAGTATAAGAGGATGACGGATTCTGTGTAATGTGCGTGCACATAGACTGATACTACAGGAATGTCCAATGGTTATTATTTTTAGGAGAATTATTTATTTACAGCGTGTTATGGTGGTTATTAGGTAACTGAAAGTTAGCATTTGATGTATCTTTTGGTAATAATTCACTTACTGCCACTTCAGGTTTTTTGCTTCTTGAATTCACTCCCCGGAGTGAATCACAGAGAACTTAGAAAGCCTGCCAAGCTCTCGGGGTTCTGACTTAGCCTCTGTATCCTCTGATTGGTCTCTCATCTTAACTTATTTAATGGCCCAGTCCCAGAGTGTTGTTCATGAGCCTCAGGCCACGTTCTTCCATCATGCCCTAAGACAGACAAAGCATTTGCTCCACGGCTTGTCGCTGCAACTCCACAGTTCGTTCCTGGACCTGAACTCCTCGTTCCTAGGCATCGCTCAGCTGTACTTGCCTGTGAACTCCACCTGATGGTGGCAGAACCTTTTATGTGCGGTGTTTGTAGAGCCCACTGGGCCACTTTATGGAGCTCCTGTAGCTCAGGTTCTTGAGGACAAAGCCCTCCATGCTGGAACTTCGCTTCATGGAAGGGACTTTCATTTCCAGTTTAAACCAAACCGTGGTATCCTTGCAAAGTTAACTCTCTGGGTTTGGCTGAAAGCAAACTGTTCTAAAAGCCGGCAGGAGTCATCATTGTTGAAGTTGATCCCTCACTGCTAGGAGAATTGGTTTTTCAGGCCTGCTGGTAGCACAGCAGCAATGCAATGCTCTGCAGTGCTGGAAGCCATATGGAGCATCAGGGTTCAGTTCCTGAGCTGACTTGTATACACCAGAGATGTGCATGTGTGTGCATGCGTGTGTGCGTGCATGTGCGTGTGTGTGTGTGTGTGTGTGTGTGTGTGTGTGTGTGTATACTGTGATCCTGGCTCACTGGGAAGGCTAGAGGAAGAATCACTGAGTGAGACTCTGTTGAGGGTTCTGTCTTCCTCTCTTTCTCTTTCTCTCATGAAGGAAATAAATGAATAAAAAATTAAGTACTGATTTTCTGTCAACATGCCACAATAATGTGCAATAACAGTATGCACGTATGACTGTAATGTGCACATAGCTGGTGGCTGCAGCGTTGGGTTTGGTTACAGAGCAAGTGAAATGAAGGAAACACATCTGGATTTGCCATCTGTAGCCTCTCTGACATCCTTCCCTGTTCCAAAGTTGAGATCTTTAGATGCTCTCCTTCTCATCAGTTTTTCCTTACCAGTTGGTCATTTGGCCACCCTGCAATCCATGGCCCCTTTTGTCATTCTCCACTTCATGGCGAGAGTTACCTTTTCAAGCACCTGATCAGGTCTCTTTTCTGCTTAAATCTAAAGGCCTCCTCCTCTGCAGGCAAATGACCTCTAGGCCATCAGCCCTGACCTGGCTCTGGAAGGCCATTTCTCTTTCTTCTTCTTTCTGTGCTTCATAGAAATAACCTACCCTTATCTGAAGGGGTCTGGTCCTTCTCTCTCGCCTCTATTCCATATCCAAGTATCTTGGGTCCCCTCTGTCTCGTTCCCCTTTGCCCACCCAGGAAAACAGCTCCCAGTTCTTTCTGACCCAATCATGAGCCTCACCCTTAAGTGTGCTGTTCCTGCACCAAAACCATCCCCCCTCCAGCAAGATCAATGAAACTTTTCTTTGCTATCCCCAGACATTCCTCTAGCTCAGCCCTTGTTCCACCATGTACTTCCAGGCTGTCCCCTTCACTAAACTCAACTACAGGGCAGGGGTGCGTTTTGCTTATGCACAGTCTCCAGGCTGAGACTGCTGATAATATTGAAGGTAGTGAAACAGACACCCAGGAGTTTGAGAAGCTAACTCAGTTCCCCTCACTAAATATAGGTGTGCATTCTGATCTACCTTCTCAATATACAGCGTTGTCTTTTTGTTTCATTTTTTAGAAACAAAGACCAGTTGACTTTAATTGGGAGTGGGGTAAGGTCTGGATTAACTCAAAGAGTTGGCCAACAGATGCCTAAGAGGGGTCTCTCTTAGGCATCAGTATTATCTTTGAAATAAATTAAGAATTGGGCCAGGAGCTGGTGTGGTAGTTAAAGCACTGGTCTCCCACATGGCTAACTGCAGTTCGAGTTCTAGACGTAGTGTATTGAAAATCACACTAGGTGTATCTGCATGCATGCCCAAAATCCCAGGAGGAGAATGGGGGAAAAAGGGATTACAGAGTGACCATCGCCCCGGGATGAATTGATACGTTTATTGTTTAGCATAGTTCAAATGTTCAACCTCGTCCTGTAGTTCATTCATTCACTCAGTAACTATTTGCTGTGAAATAACTAAATAAAGAGGCTCCTTGACTTACGATGTAGTTATGTCCCAAGAAAGCCATCATAAATTGAAGATGTCCTAAGTGGAAGATGCATTTTATCCAACCTCCTGAACATCAAACTAAGCCTAAACTACCTTAAAGGTGCTCAGAACGCTTTAATTAGCCTCTGATTGGGCAGAGGTACCTCACACAAAGCCTGTTGTATGATAAAGTGCTGACTATATCTCATGTCATTTGTTGAATACTTTTGAAAGTGAAGAACAGAGTGGTTGTATGAGGCCTCCAACTAAGGTTTCTACCACATACCTATCCCTTCAGCACCATCATAAGTTGAAGCATCACAAGTCAAACCATTGTAAGCTGGAGACCTTCTATACCGGCTTCTGTTCAAGACACGAGGATGCAATGGTGAAGGGTTGTACCACCAGGCTCAGTCAACCCTCAGTCAACCCAGGTTTCCTCCATACCTGTTCCTTCCTGGGTTTTCTACCCATATAACATTGCTAAGCACTAGCTTATTCAATCTTCACAGTAACTATTACTCTCCTCAATTTGTGCATGAGAAAAATGAGAAGCCATGTAGCTTGTGGTGAACTAGTAGATGGTGCAGCGCAGACTTGTATAAGGTCTGGATTTCCACAGCAACAGTTTAACCACCGTCCCTTCCATCAACAAAATATTATGGAGTCCTTCCTAAAAATAGACTGTAAATCCACAACGATGTTTCAGGTTCTGAAAGAGGACTAACAGAAGCGTAAGATGGGCCTAATTTTCACTTTGGCAAAACAAGATGACCATGAGCCACACTGAACCATGGAGGTAAAATTCAGACGACCTCGCTCCCAGAAGACTAGTCATGCTCCTGGTAGGAGTAATTGCTGGATGGAGACTTTTGCTCATCCAGACTTTTGCAATTTGGCAACTGTGACTCCAGAAATATATAATAGACTTGTGATGTGCTTATAATGCTTCTAGAAATTTATTGCTTGAGATTTTTTTTTTTTTTGGTCATTGTCATTTTACTACCTTGGCCACTTCGTTTTACGGTTTAGTAGTGTTAAGCACATTCACGGCGCTGTGCAACTGATTCCCAAAATTTTTTTCATCTTTTAAAACTGAAAGGACACCCACTGAGCAGCAACTCCTCTCATCTGTGTGGAATCATACAGTTTCTGTCTTGTGACTGGCCTATTTCACATAACTTAATGTCCTCCAGGCTCATCCATATCATGGTATGTGTCAGACTTTCCTTCCTTTTTAAGTCTCAACACTGTTCTATTGTATACATGTACCACATTTTATTTATTCTTATTGTTGGGAATTTGAGTTGCTCTCCTTGTGGCTATTGTGAATAATGCTGCTAGGGAAGTGGGCAGACAAAGATCTCTTTAAGAGCTTGCTTTCCATTCTTTTGAGTCTGTTCCCAGAAGTGGAATTGCTGGATCGTATTATGATTTAATTTAACATTTTTTAAAATGAGAGAGAAAGTGATGAGTATAAGGAACAGGGGGTGAGAGAGAGATGATGGTTGTTGACAAGGTCTCACCCACACTGTGCTCTTCCTGCTCCAGCCTCCCAGTTCGCTAGGACCACAGGAGTGTACCACCATGCCCAGCCTGTGTAGGTTGGACCAGGAACCCAACGCTGACCTCCCACGTGGCCTCAGCCATCATCCAACAGTGTCCCGCTTCATGTCACCACAGCTGAGCCATTTGTAATTTTTGGAGGAACCCTTACTGAGGTCCATAGCGGCTGCACCATTTTACATCCCCACCAACTATGTATGAGTGTTTTGATTTCTCCACATCTTCATTAACGCTTGGCTGTTCTCTGGTTTTGTTTAGTCATAGTAGCCATTCTCGTGGGTGCGAGGGAGTATCTCATTGTGGCTTTGATAGGCTTTGTTTTGTTTTGTTCTTTGCTTACATGCAATTCTGTTTGCCAAGTGCTTCAATACATCTTTGCCAGGTGCAAAACTTTTTGCACCTGTAAGGCTGCAG